TCCATTCTTTAAGAAGTCTACTCAATGAAATATGAAAAAGAAATGGACAGGTCTAACAGCAATGTATCTAGACTTCCCTAAAATATATATCCTTATTTGAACTTGTTTTCATGCAGTAGTAAAGTATAGTCAGGTTATTCCTTATGTCTAAATTGCGATTTTGAATAAAATAGATATGGATTTACAGATCTTAGTTTCTTAGTCACAGGAACACTTCTGTCACAAAGCACTGATAAGGAAGGAGTTGTGGCATTTCTTAAATTTTCTAAAATATTTATGAATTTTCTGGGATCCTATCCACTTTAGACACAAAAGCTTGCTGAAGAATTACTTGAAGAATTATAAAGCAGCAATCTTTTAGGGAATGAGTTCAGTTGAAACTTGCAGAAAGTTATGGTGTGGTGATTCAGATTTCATACACACAGTTAACTGTATGTTATTTACAGTGCAGTCCCATAGCTTCATAAACTAGTAAATGTGGTTTTGTGTTTTTTTTTAACAAGGCTACACAGAGCAACTGGTGCTAGCACGAAGGAAGTAATGGCATGGCAAAATATATCCACATACAAGGAAGAAGGCAGGACTGCAGCAGGCAGGTTAAATTGACATAAGCTTCTCATCAATCATGTTGCTAGGGTATGATTTCTTGTTATGACTGATCATGTTTAAAAGCTCACTATTATCTGAAGAGGAAAGCTCTCCAATGTTTTCTTATTTGTGCTGTGGTAGACTATTGCTTCCTCCAGGAGGTTATGCTTAATGACAAGCAGTTATGGACAAGTGAATGGTTTAGCTGGAAGAAAATAAAATCCTGTGAGTTGCCACATTATACCAGTTACAGTATGGAATGGGTATATTAAATACATGGTAGTGCAGTAGTATCTTGGCTGCGTGGATCTTAAGCTTGTTTCTCTGTTATTTCAGTCTGAACATTCCTGTGAGCTGTCTGAGTATCCTAAGTCTTGTATTCTACTTGACTGAGGAGGAAAAGTAAAGATCCATTGGTTATATAAAACTGAGTCCTTATTTTCAGTGGGTGGCTCGCCTGTCTCTGTTCTGATGACAGGAAAGTAAATTTAAGTGTTGACTTGGCAGTTGTGATAAGTAGGTAGTTCATATTTTGCTGAGAGTATTTGCTTTTGGATTTTGTCTCTCCTTTAGACTTCTTGCAGACTTAGATACACATAGCTGCATTAGTTATATTTGGTACATATGTGAAGTTGCTTAAGTTTCTTTTTTTTTTGTTTAAGACTCCATTTGCAGAGGAACCTTAAAGCAAACACAGGAGTCCATGGTCTTTAGCAAAATTCCAGAAGGCTGTTATACTTTATTACTAAAATATTATTATTACTATTAATACTAAAAGTCTTTATTTCCTTATCCTATTGTTGATGTTGGAGCATAAATTAACATTGTAAAAGGTTACATGTTTAAACAGTACAATTTTGGATGCACTGATGCTGCTAGACACTATTGTGCACATTTCAGCAATCTCAAAATAAGGGTTTAATTTTTAAAACCTGCAAGAGAGGTAGAATATCAGAGAGGCAGACTGTGCAGCAAAAATAGGGATCACATCAAGAAGCCATGAGGACACAGCCAAGATAGGTAGGCCATGGTCTTGAAGTCCTACTTTCTTGAAAGTGATGGGGGATTTTTTTTTTTTTTCAGTAGCTTCATTTCCTTCAGAGGAATCAAAATTTCATCCTGGTCTCTGTTTGGTAAATTGACTGATTAAATCTCAGCTTGTATTCTCTGGTCCTCATCTGCCAAACTGAATTACTACAGTCATAGTAAAATAACTGTTTAACTTGTAGAGAAGTGTTGCTTTGCAGTTCTAAGATTTTCTTCAACCTTCACCTGTTATAGAATTAGCAGAAAAGGGCAGAGAAAGAATTAGAAATCCTACTGATAATACTAGAGGAGCAAATCCTTCTTCACATTAAATTTTCATACTCATGTAAGCTGTTCTAAGCATCAGTGCATGTTATTTGGAAAGATACGAACTGAGGATTTAGCTGTTTGAGGATGACAAAGGTATTTAATCTTAATTAATTTTGAATAATCATTATAAGAATTAATTTCCTATAATCGGCTTTTATGAAATAGTATGTTTCATATAATAAATTCTGATGAGAGGGATGCAATTTACTAATTATTAATCATTACAGTCTTTAGACCAGCCTCAAATAAATTGTAAACAATATTGTAATTCTGTTGAAAATACTCCAATAATTGGAAAGGAATAAGATAATTTGAATATAGTATTTTGTTTGTGGAAACAAGTTTTATTGGAAAACTCAATACTGAAATACTCTAAAAATATAAAAGTAACAGCAAATATTTTAAATAGCTGCAGACTGGTTCAAACAGTTGTTGAATGTTTAATCAGAATTCTTTTTCCATGACAGAATTCAGTTTTTGTAGTGGTTATTTTTTTTTTCTCTCAAAAATGTAGAAACCATGAATAGTTACGAGCAGCATAGTATAGGCTGTGATCCTTTCATAATGATGGGAACTGCCTGGTCCTGTAGCAAAGGGATTATGCACAGCTGAAAGGAGTGCATGTGCATGTACAAGTGCCACCTTTCTTTTTCCTCTGAAGTTGACCAGGAAATATTTCATAGCAGCATCAAGCACTCTGGGAACTAAGTTGCCTGAGGACAGGCAGTCTAATTGATTGTTTCCATTTTGTAGGGGCAGGAGTTTTTATTAGAAAACTGAGTTTGATCAGTTTTCTTTTACATGAAACTACTTTATAAAATTACTTGGCATTTGAACTTGAAATTTGTTCTATGTTCAGAAAGTTTGAATTTGAACAGTCGGCCCTTCCCAGTATGTTAGCATTTTTTAACAAATCTTGCGTATGGGAAGAAATTCTTTCCTTTTTGATTTGCCAAAGCATAAGTATGCATATTTTTAATTACTAGCTTGCATATATTATTCAGTGTGCTGTGTCATCATTTGCCATGGTATCTTGCTGATATTCATTGTTCAATGTGAATTCCAAGACAGGAATTTTGGTTACAGATGCTTGATTTACAGAAAAAATTCTTAACGCTTTAAGTACAGACATCATATTGTTGAAAGTAAACTTAACATTTTCATGCATGATTACACATGCTGGTTCTACATTTGTCACTGTGGTTCTTCTGTTTACAAGCCTCTGTGAGACTCAGCTAGTTGTAAAATTTACTGCCTCAGCCTATGATATTTTATTCTAGAAAATTGGTGAAGTATATGTAACTTCCTCTAACTTAGTAGAAAATAGAGGGGGGGAAAAAAATCGTTTTATCCAGGAGAGAAGAGAATGTACTTGCTGTCCTTTTGTCATTGCATCAATGACAATTTTAATTTTGAAGACATGTCTCCCTTTTGTAAAGAGCAAATGTGTCTTTAATAACAAGGAAAAAGTAACAGTAAGGAGTAATCTTTGAAATTATTTCTTTGCATTTAAAATGAATCTTTCATAAAGTTCTTTTTGTAAACTGTTCTGCAATTTTCTTTTATAAGCAAGCTGAACATATAATGAACAATGTTATCTGATACATTTGTGCCTTATGTATAACAACTGTACCAAAAGACTATTTTAATAGTGCTTAGGTAAAAAGTCAAGCACTCAGAAGTTAGAAAATGCCTGAATTATATTGTTGGAGCCCCTGCCAGCACCAGCAAAGAGCCTGTGGCCCTTGGCTGAAGCATGTTGGGTGTACCTAGGTTCTTTAGAAAACTCAGTTTAATATTCTGAGTTTCTCTAAGTTCTACACAAGCCTTTCCTTCCCACAGGCTAAAGTTCTTCACAAACTGCTCCAGTGTGGGTCCTCCATGGGGTCACAAGTCCTGCCAGCCAACCTGTTCCACCATGAGCTCCTTGGTGTCCACAGAGCTGTTTCTGCCCCATATTCTCACTCCTCTCTCTGTTGTAGTTGCCGTTGTGACACTTCTCTTCCCAGATCTTAATTTTCTGTTATCACAGAGACACTACCACCGTTGCTGATGGGCTCAACCTTCACCAGCAGCAGATCTGTCTTGTAACCAGCTGGCATTGGCTTGTTGGACGCAGAGGAATCTGGCAGCTTCTGACAGAAACCACCCCTGTTGCCCCTGCCTGCTACCAAAACCTTGCCATGCAAACCCAATACAATACTTCTAGTGTAATCTTTTGTCCCAATTTCAGGCCTTTGTGCTGAAGTTGGGAAACTCTGGAGATTACCAGCACAGCTATTATAAAAATTCTCACAGAATAAGCAGCCCAATGTATTTTCATAAAATTTACTCAATAGTTATGCCTAGCAACTTGAGGGCATACACATATATGCCATAATACCTGTTCATAGTTGAAGCATCTGAAGGAAACCTGCTTATCGGAAGAAGTAGAAATTTTCTATGGAACATTGTTATGTTACTTGTCTTATCATGCTGCTTTTCATGTTCTACAAAGTAGTGCCACCACCTCATTGTTTATTATTAAACCACTGATATTTGGTGGAGGATCTTTGCCTATCTTCCCGATTTTAGATTCTCAGAGTGGTGAAATTACATGGAAATACCAAACTGCTGTCTTTCCAATTCTTATAATTTCAGCAGGGGAGTAATAACTTTAGGGGAGTTATGTGCCTCAGTAATGTCTTAAATATTCAAAACCCAGCAGTAAGTAGAACGAATATTTCTGTTCTGTATAAAGCAGAATGTTATTAGTTTTAGGACTTCTCTAGTTTAGTTGTCATTGAATAAGGGATATTTAGTTAAGTCTTTTCTTCCTAAGGTACGATGTGTGCTGAAAATCCCAGGCAATAAACAGGGCTGGGAGCTACCTCTGACTTTCATGTTCTTCACTGAAATGGTTTCTACTTTCTGAATACATCTACTTGTCTCTTTGGTACTCTGTAACTGATAGCTTCTTATTACTTACATAGTAAGTTTAGAAGAAAGAAAAAAATAAAAAAATAACGAGCCAAGATTATCATTACAGAATAACATTCATTTTTCGTTTCTTCTAGATAAAGATCTTGACAAGCTCTTATCACTCTTAAAAAGTCCAAAGAAGCAAACTGGGTGGAAAGAAACTTGTAGAAAACAGTTCTGCAAAGTCATGAAAGCCAGACCAGATACCATCAGTGGAACCAGTGAGTATGGTTTACTGAGTAAAACAAAGCAAGCAAATAGAAGGCCACTAGTAAGCAACCATTCTTTTAAAAGTTTTATTACGGGTTACATTATCTATACAAGTAGTCAATCATTTCATGTTGATTATAAAAGGTGTTTCATTGGGAATTTCCTGAGAAGACAAAGCTTATGTCTCATGTCTTGTTTTTCTTTCTTTATGGCCATCACCCCTCTGTGTTGGCAATTTTCAGTGAAATTTGACAGAGGACTCAAATACAAGTCTTTATTTCAGGTTTCCAAAATGTATTTTATTGAGATGCTGAGAAAAGAGAGCGTGAGAGAAGACAGACATTTCCTAGAGATAATGAATGACTTTAAGGCAGGTTGGAAAATTTATATTAATGGCTAATTTCAGTAAAAATTTCCAGCATTAAGACATACTAAACATCGGAGAGCTCACTATTTTGGGTTTTTCTTCATTTTCTTATCTATTTTCTAGTGAAGAGTGCGCTCATGCAGGAGCATAGGTATAGATAGTTAAAAAAACAAACCAGCCAGAACAAAACCAACAATCAAACATATGACATATATCATCAGAAATCAGACTTAATAATTAACCTGTAGTATTTTATAAACTTGTGTAGCAATAAATAAACTTTTTTTTTTTTTTTTTCAGAAATTGCTGGCTTTAGTTTCTGTAAGAATTCTGATTATGGTCACATGGTCAGTACATTGTTTACAGGTGCCAAAGGTTTCCATTCAAATTTTTTAAGTAATTAATACAACTAACAAAAAAGATGAAATATCTTCTGTATAGTATCAAAGTAAGCTAGCATGTGTGTTTTATGTGAGAGTCCTGAATTTTATGATAAATTATGTAGCAATATAAAAGTTACAGGGCAGTTTCAGTAGCCCTAAGGAAGTCATTTATACAGGAACCGATTTAGTATTAAAATAATTAATAAGAAATTTGTCATTTTGTATAATGTGGTTATGATCAATAATTACTGAATGTTTCTAAACTCTCAGAGCTTTCTATTCTTATTGCTTGTTTGAAACAAGCTTGAGTCTACAGTCTTAGGTGGTTTTAAATTAGAGCTTTCACCGTCTGTTGAAAACTGTCCATAGACAGAATACGTTTGTATATAATAAGTATATGCAGTATATGCACTTACAATGTACATTATATTGTACACATCCAAAAATGAATGTATTCAGACAGCTTCGTGAAACAGGTGAACAAAGATCCATAACCAGTCAAAACCAACTGACTGTATTTCATCTGAGCTTCTGCTAGTATAAGAAAATAAACTGAAGAGTAGCAATTAAAAAAAATGTAGATTTTTCTAGCAAAATGGTATGTTTACTTTTCTTGCATGACTAATTTAGTAGCTCAGTGAGGTGTTTTTTGACGTTATGTATTGTGAAGTACAAATAGTTCAGTCTATGTATAATCAGTTTTATTTTGATGCAGCATATTTTCTAGACTGACATCTTCATAGATTACATGAATATTTTGTTGAAAATGGTTAGTCTCTCTTCCTGCATCTAAAAGGTATTATGTGTTTAAAACCCATGTTTTTACAAAACCACAAAACATACATTTAAAGTAGGTGGCTTACAGTGGAAAAAGAAAAGTCTCCTTTTGTGCTTTGTAGGTTTTCATACAGTCTCAAAATCTGTGTAGGTTGTTTTCTGGAACTTTGTTGGAGGTACCAGATGCTAGAATGAAGAATTATAGAAAGTCATTAAGATTTGTTAAGCCAAAGCAAAAAATGCGTGCTTGCTTCTGAAGAACTGTTTCCAGCTAAGGAAATATCCATGGAATTGTTGTTAAGCCTCACAGGAACTTCTGCAAGTGCTTTCACAAACCACACACAGAAAAAAAAAAAGTATGAAATAGAAACAGAATAGCACAATGAGATACTAAATAAATAAATCTAAACATTCTACAAAAGAATAGTAATATAAATTAAGTGTAAGTACTGGTAATTTAAGGTGGTTGCAAAGCTGTTCAAATGATGCACAACTGCTTGCAGATATTTCAGAAGCAGCAAAATACGTGCTAGCTGTATGGTTTCAGACAGCATCATGTTCATTGAAACTGTCTTAGGAGAGGCAGCTGTGCTGCTATGTATCTTTTGCAGCATGTGAAGCTCTCCCAAATTTCAGAGCACTGAGAGGCTTCAGTCCAGATCACAAGAAATCAAAACTGTATTGGGCCATTTCTAGGGGAGACTAACATTAACAACAGTTGAACCAGAACGTAATCAGCAAAGATGGACTGGACTCAATGAATGTATAGTGTAATGTGCATTGAATTTAGGATATTTTGTGGCCTAGTGTCAGTACTGCCAGATGCTGAATCTATATAAACTGCCTGAACTCCATTAGAAAATTCTTGAGCAATCTGTATAGTATCAATCTCTCTAATTCACTCTTCTAGTGTTGATTGTCATCACAGTGGCTTGGTCAATATTTTTGTGCTAAATGCTGTGATGTCATATTACTTTTGGGAATGCCTAGCTTCAGCCCTAGATTGGCATTTTTTCTACTAAAGCATCATCTGTTACTGTGGCTTTGAAGTACTTTCTGTGGTCAAATATCAAGATCCAGTTTTGAATAGCTTTATTGAACCACTGAAACGAGATACAAACCTTCCTCAGGCTTGTGTCTTTCAGTGTGGCAGGACTGAAAGTGTGGGAGTTTTCTTGGTCATCTAAAAATAAAACATATTGCAGACAGCTTTTACATTCTGTTAATCTAAGCACAATAAGCTAAGACAAAGGCATTCTTCTAGTCATTCCATTTGTGTAGGTGCCACAGAATTTTGGATGCTAGTGATATAACTGCTTGTTCTTAAGTGTCTTTGAATATGTCTTTGAGTCCTTTAGATAAGCTAGAGAACTATGGATAGAGCCTATAGTCAAGGCAAGGCTTGGCCTCTTTTGGACCATTCTTTGCAATGCTTGTGGACTCACTGAAGCATCTTCACTACATCTACATAAGAGCTATCTGTATTGGCATATAGGCTTGAGCAGAAAGAGAAACAGGTAAATCAAAGCTTGAAAAATAGCTTGGATTTATGTAGAAAATTATTTGGCTTGTGAATCTAGGCTTAGTATATTGCATGTTTGAATCATTCACATAATTGGGAGGTAGTTTTTTGAACCAGTGATCTTGGCTTGACTGTCTCATCCATATCTTTTTCAGTTGTCTCCCTCCTACTCATCTTTCAGGCTTTGCAGTAGTCATTTCTGTTGTTTTTAGTCCTAGTAACACTTTTTTTTTTTTTTTTTTTTCTCTCCTGGTTAGTGTTGTGTCAGTAGCTGATCTCTTTCCTGTCTTGTCAGGTTCAGCATCTTGAATCCTGTCCTCTCTTAGGAGAATTTAAACAACAGAAATTGAAGGTGTTAAAGATCATATAATTATATGCTAACATTCTTCTTTTCATAATTGAGAGGTAATCAGTCCCCAGATCCTAATCATTCTCATCAGGCTTTGTATCTGTGAGTGGGTATGGGTTTGGACAGGCATAGTAAACTCAGCTAAAGTGACTTGTTCCATGGAATTGTTGAGTTTCCACGGCTTATCTCAGGAATCAGGATTTAGATTGTGAGTAAACTTTAGGGCCTATTAATTTACCTCCAAAATATTCTCTCTTAAACAAACAAATACATTTGGGAGGCATATTTTTTTTTTTTTTAACGTAATTTGCAGTTTCAGGCAGTTATTCTCTCAGTGTCAGTAACTATGGATGACTTCAAAGATGTGAAAAACATAGCAGCTCTTGAAATTGCATATGAGATCTTACTGGAAAACACAGGCTTTTTCTTCAATTTTTTCAAGCAGAATGGTTGATGAAAGCAGAGTAGTTGTGATCAACAAAGTGTTCTGTAGTCCATTAATGCTTTGAGAGCTCTGCATCTTGAAAAATATTGTCATCCCTTGAGGCAATGCCATTGTGACATTTGGGTGCTACAGTCTTTAGCAACTGCTGCAAAAAGCTTAAAGTAGCTGCAGAACTTTCCCTATGGAATGAAGAGCAAAAAAGTTGGGTATTTTCAGTAGGTGTAACTGTTGTGTGTGATGTTGTTTGTTGTTTTTTTTATTATTCAGGATAACAAAACACTAAACTTCAGGCTATTTTAATAAACTGCCTATCGGGCATTGTAAATGTATCTTATATAAAGGTGTGCTTTACAACTAGTGGAATCTCACCAAGGAGGGGCTCTCAGTTGCCACCATTCTGCCTGTGTATAGAACTAAAGATAATAGGGACTTTAGTTATTCTTGAAAAGGATTTTCTGGATTCAAAGACAAGGGAATAATTTATTTCTAGAGCTGTTACTGGCATGTTGTTTCTTCTTCAATGGATTTCAGTTTTCATTAGGTCCAGCTAAAGATGATTTGATTAACTTCAGTTTTGCATACTAGTCTTCCATAAGGCTGTCTTGTTAAGTGTATGTGAGAATTCTCTAGGCTGTGATTTCAAAAAGAGTAATCAGGATAACTGCTTTAGATTTCCATTCTGAACTGATCCTCAGATGAGGCTGTTCTCTGCAAGAACAGATTCTCTAAGCTAGATTTGATCTTTTAAAATGTGGACCAAATCTTCTGGCTCAGATTACTCAGGTAGATCTAGTTTCTGCATAAGATCTGCTCTCATTTTTTTTTTTTGAATGACCAATTTAAAAATATTGCATTCACAAAAGAAGTTTTTAGAATAAAACAAAAAAAAAATATTTTTTTTTATGTCCTTACTTGGTTTTGCAAGGAGACTGATTTCAGAATTAGAGTGGATCTGTGGGTCTTTCCTGTTATGCAAGAAGAACAATTGCAGATCAAAATTTCTTTCATCTGTTCCCCACAGTAGTTTGGAGCAACTTCCAAAGGAATATCCTGTAAGCAGTGTAACTGCATTTGAATGTGTGTGAAGGTTCTGACATTTGATTAGGATTTGAAAGGCATTAATAAAAAAGATACTTGTGTAAGATAGGCAACCTTCATGTCTTATGGAAGCATTGTCAGAATTTTTACTACCTTGTTTTCTTTTTTCCAAAGAAGATGCAGGTTGTCCCTTTGCCATTTCAGTGTGCAATAACGGAAAGTCACTTCTTACCTTAGGAGATAAAAAAAGTCATCCTCATTGTTGCCATCAAGAAAGAGATTGCTACCTGGGTTTTTCATATTTTTACTAAACTGATGGAGGTGAAAATTTCTGATACTACTCTTACAAAGAAGTCAGGACTAACACAAGTCAAGCAGGACTACTGTTAAGTCCTAAGAAAGTTCTTTTTCTTCTAAACTCTGAAGCATCTCTGAGCTGATAAAGAGGATGAACAAGGAACACTAATTACACTAGAGGATCTAAAAAAAAAAAAAAAAATATAGATGTTCTCACAATTTTTGACCTTTTGGTTTAAACCAAAGTAGGAATTAGATAATGTGGCATGGTGTTTACCTATTAAAACAGTTTTAATCACATGAATTTTTTAATCAGTGTTCTTACGCAGTTGAGAAGCTATTTCAATTACCTTCCTTTTGTACATTAGTTCTTCAAGGAAAAAAAAATGTCCTGAAGGAATTCAGCTGTTTATGAGCATACTGCAATCGCTTAGTGGATTTTAAAACCCTGTCATTATTTTGTATATGATTACACACTCCTAAATTAAAATTCTCTTTATTTTATATGTGTGGATTAAATTTGCATGAGGTAATTGCCACTCTCTTAAAAACATCAATGTTAATACAGCCAAGCTACCTCAATTTAAGAAAATCAACATTTTCACTGAGTTAGTAGGCCACAACATTAATCTCTAACTTTGAACTTAACCTCTGCATGAGGGTGTGGGCTTTTACAACAATAACAACTGTACTATACAATGGACTTACCTAAGTTTCTTTTGTCTACATTTCCAGTTAAATAAAAAAATCAGTGAGCCAGTTTCCACCTACATAAACATCTTTACGGAGTGTCCATGTGGCAGCTAAATGATTTAGTGGTTAAAAAAAAAAAAAAAATTAAAATAACTGCTTGTCACTTCACATTGACATTCTTTTTGAAGAGGCAATGTCCTGTGAAAGCCTTCTATTTGTGTATTAACTAAATCTGTTTTGATAAACTCTCATGCGTGTCTTCCTCTCTCAAACTCGATTAAAAGCTTTCAAAGATCCTGATAGGCCCTTAGATAAATACTTTCAAATGGTAGGAATCAATTTAGTGCTTGAGTTTCAAAAAAATTGTTTAGTAGTTGAGCTGTCACTTCTCCCATTAACTCAAGCACTGAACTGAAATATTCAACTGGCAGGTCAAGCATGTGGATGCCTTCTAACAAAAAGGGAAGAAACGCACAATGATCTGACTTGGGTTTAAATTTTCCGAATTATGTGGTATTTTAGGTTGGTTAATGTAGTTTCTGTTTGTTATTATAGTATATTTCAGTAATCACAATACTAATAGCCAAACATCAAGGTAATTACGTACTTTATTTTCATTTTTTCCTATCTACTGCCCCAGGTATAGACACCTTTTCTCATTTTGCACAAACATTTTTTATATTGTTTGTGGACCAAATTCCACTAAGCATATTAGTGAACATTAATGAGAGTGTTTATTCTCACAAAATGAATAATCTATTTCTCTTCTATAAAATAAGTTGCTTTTTACTAGCCCCATGTGAGCTAGTAAATATATTTATTAACCATGAATAAATATACATATATTATGTTTAAGTAGCAGTTTCTTCTTTCTGTAAAAAATACAGAAGAATATAAATTACCCATGTAATTGATATGATATCTTTTTCTCCATTACTTTTCTGGCATAGCAAGCATCAGATTGTAGGTGGAGGTTCTGTCATGTTCCTCTTTCTCCTCATGGACACAGGATCTTGCACTGCTGGGTGGCATGGGGGTGAACCTTCAATGTTGTTACATTGAGCTGCTGCCAAGGAAATGGTAATGTGCAGTCTTAGAACAGGCAATCCCATGGGTAGCAGTACTACTTACTCTCTAAATAAACTTCCTTGCTTGAAGAAGTATGAAAAGAATGTTATATCACTGTTCTTTAAATCTTGTTTATCATGACAACAGCAGCTGGTTTGGGGTAGTGTTCACTTATAAAAAAAGTTCATTGTTGTTTTCTTAAATTCTTCATATGGTTTGTCTCAGTATGGGCTTCCTCCATGCAAGATGTGCAAGGGCTCTCTTCTACCTTTTGTTTAATTCTGGAAAGGTGGTAGTGTGCTCAATTGCAGTAGCCTCAAACTTGCAGAGCTGTGGAATCAGGAACAGGTTTTGCTAATGATTTGTCATTGAGAGTTCTTGCGAACTTCCTGGACAACATCCTGTTCAGGTGTTGTCCTGGTTTCACTGGGACAGAACCGTAGACCAGCCATGGTCTGGAGGCTGTTAGCACTCTGGAGTCAGCCAGGGCAGCTGACCTGAGCTGGGTCACAGAGGCATCCCATGCCATGAACATGCTCAGCATAAACAGGGGACGTTTGCTGATAGTGAAGGGTTTTCTCCTTGGGCTTCTGCAGACCCTGTTCCTCAGGCCTGCCTACCTATTTATTGTGACTCCTGTACATTTGCTGGGCTGAATATAACTTTGTATGCTTTATATTGGCATTTGGTATTAGTTTGGCTATTTCTTTAAATCTGTTTTCATTTCAACCCATGAGTCTACTCTCCTTTTCCTGATTCCCGTTTCTTGGCTGAGGAGGGGTCATTGGGTGATAGAACAACTTCTGTAGTTTAGCCCTGGATATGGGCTGAATGGAGACAGGTGGGAGACATGATTTCCTTCATAGTAACTAGATGTCAGCATCTGATTATCTGTGCAGTATCTGTAGACACAAAGTTCTATAGCAATAACTGAATAAGAACATTATGGTCATCATAAAATACAAACTTTCCCAAAGGAAGTGCTCCTGTTGCTTAATTTTAAGTGAGTAATTTTTATCTTGTGATGCCATAAATGTTTTTATATTGTGTTTCTTCAAAACAGCTCTTAAAACATCATTTAATTTTGTTAGCATCATTTTGGGGTGATGTGGATTTCATGTTGTTTGAGGATTGCTGTATTTCTTTTTTTTCTCTTTTTTTTCCTTTCCTGTCTACATACACAGACAAATACAACAAGATTTTGTAGTTTAATTATGGCTAATTTTCATTTCATATTGAAACTATGTAACAAATTTTGCAGTGGTGCTCAGAGAATATAAAGATATAATATGGGATTTTCTTCATCATTTACACTGAATATATTCTCAGTAAAACTATTAAAATTTAATTTAAGGTAAGAGCGGTGTTAGGAATGCGAAAGCGCAAAGGCACGCTTTGAATTGTTCCCCCATAAAAATGTGACTAAGAATGCAGTAATTCAAATAACTTTAGTTTTTCACATATTGTCATTTTCTTTTGTAATGTAGTTCTACATTTTGCTAATTACCTCTAATGTTTTGATGTTTTTTTTACTTTTTGCAGCTTTGGCAGAATTAATTGAAAAGTTTGTGTTGCATCTTTCTGAAAGCCGATCAGATTGTTATTTCAGCATGGGAAACTATAAAGGTCAGTTCCCTAATAATTTATTGCCATACAGCCTCTCCATATTTAAATTATTTTCCTTTTAAATGTATCTCTAACATTTTGAGGGTTGTTTAAAGTTCTTTGGCAACATAACTGGAGGGAAATACCTCACTTTGGAGCAAAGGATAATGTGTTTGAGTAAATAATACAGATTATTAGTGTTGGGCTTTCGCACTTCTGTATGTGTAATGGAAAGATAGCAATGTAGAACAGGTGAGGGTATGATTCAAAGTATTTGTTGATACCTACTATGGAATGCTTGGCAAAGCTCGTGGCATAAACATTTAAAGTGGTGTAAGCAGTCTAGTTCACCTTTAAAAGCCCAACAGTGTATAATCAATCCAAAGGTATGCAATCTGTATTGCATTAAAGGATCTGTTTTAAAGAATTGCTATTGTTGGCAGAGTAATCTGAATGTTAGTTTTGTACAGATGCTGTGCTCACAGCCAGGAATTAAGGATGAATGATAAAGGTAATTTATTCTGGATGTAAAGTAATATATTTTAATATTTTGAAGCACTTGCAAAATTAGACTATTTAGAAGCATTGTTAATATCTACCAGAAAATGCACTTACATTCTTTACTGTATGTCCAGGACTTTTCTCTTAGGTTGTAGTTCAGTCATTTAGAGTGCTTATTCTACCACTAGCTCTGGAGAACTAAGCCTGCTTTCAGAACAGCATGATATTTATATTTTTATTTTATTTGCACATCCATAGGATACAAATATAGTCCTTGGAGACTTCAGACTTGCCTTGAAGTTTCAGAGCATAAAACCCCTTCAATAAATTAGAGGATCTTTTTTTTCTATATAGTGGTGTCTACCTTCTGAATGATTGGTAACAGAAGACTCATGATTTTATTTAAGAGCATTTCTCTTTGCTTAATGAAGAGTTGCTGAAATTACAGTTCTTTCTGCCACTATTTTATTTTTCCTTAAAAGGTGTGGGGGTTTTGTTATCCTACATTACTTTGTCTCTTACTTTCCAACTTCTTTAGAGGCATAATGGCAACAAAAGTCTTTTCATGGACTCATCAGACTTGCTATTTATATATTTCTGATGCTTTCAAGTGATGATTTTTATCAGTCCTTGAATAGCCCACATTTTGTCTTCATGATGTAAATGATTTGACACCTAGATTTACCCCTCTTGCTCCTCTCTGTACAGCTCTCTTTTTACGTTGCAGTTCAACGTTCACCTTCTTAAATGATATGGAAGGCCCAGGTGTAGTTTTCTATCTTGCATTTTTTACCTTTCTTTGAAGAATTGGCATATCACATAGACGTAAACTTTTGAAGTTATCTTAGTGTTTCCTGTTAGGCAAACAGGAAAACCTACTTGATTTGAATAAGGCAAAAACTAACTACAGGAGGAACAGACCTCTGCCGGTGCGACCTCCAAGTGGATGTCTTGCCCTGCTGTTTCTTCACTGTAACAGCTAAATGCTTCTATCGAGTGTGGAAGGACTAAGGAAGGGAAGCACTAGTCTATACTCTGTTCACTTAGATGTTGGTTGAGTACTTTAGTTTCAGTCCGCTGTTCTCAACCATTTGTTCAAAGCTACGATTTAAAACAGATTCAGGAGGGTTGAACCTGGAACTTCTACTTCATTGATGTGTGCTTCCACCATGAACCATGGTGGAGGTGGCAACAACACCACATTATTCAGCTAAAATTTAATGTTGACTGTGAAGAAACACCATTTGAAAATCTTATGATAATTGCATACATTATTTTTTTAAAACAGAAAATCCCAAAGATTACGTGCAGAAACCGAACAAACATAGTAAAAGCATCAATTCTTGATTTTTCTTGAGCTTGACAGATTTGCTTTTCATGATAAAGCTTTTCAGTCTGTGTTTGTATTTTCTGAATAATTTTTTTTTCATTTAATCTTCTACAGGCACTGTTGGAAATTAGTTCTAGTCAATTTTGCCTGTTTTGTTGTCAAATAAAATTCCATAGTTTAAAGTGTTGGCTCATGAACAATTTTCATTTGCAAATGCTTTTGAAATTCTATGTGCTTTTAATGAAGAGAAGCTTGGAGATGAGAGTGTGAGAAGCCTTCTCAAGGACACTCAGTAGTCTGGTGGTAAAAAACTGATGTGAAATGTAGGCAAAGGGCTGGTGTTGTCTTAATGCTTTTATTCCCTGTCAACACCATTATCATGCTTTTGCGAATAGTTCTCCAGCCCAGGAAAGAGTATTGCTCAGGCGAACAGCATAAGTTTCATCACAGGTTTCTATTAAGTTCTTTAGGAAAATAGTTACTAAAATTTCATAGGACCTTTTTCAGACAGGTGTAGCAATGGGTGTCGTTTACAACAAGTAGTTTAGACCAATAAATTCATGCTGATTGACACAAAAGTGAAACAAAAATCTGGCTCTAAAATTGAATCTATGATAGTACTCCAGTCTGGAACAGTCAAAGGGCTTGACTGTAAAAATCAGTTGTGTAGCTGAATTTACAATCTTTTCAGCTTCCTTTTTTACATCATATTCCTGTGAAGATAGGGAATGCCCTTTAAGAACCCAACTCTGTATTACGCTTCCTGTATATGTAGAAAAGGGACAAACAAAACATGCTCAAATCTTTGTCAGACTTTACTTACTCAAAATTAGGTTTCTCACTGGTTGAATAATGATTGATTAGATTTGTATACATTTCCCAGTGGTTTCTGCTAATGTGAATGAAGGGTTAGAATTTCTCCAAGGAGAACAATTAATTATTGAGTGCTGTTTTATTTCACTGTATCTTTCCCATATATGTATGTGTAAGAGCTATCTAAGCTAAATCTTAAAACTGCTGTTATGGTAGACACACTTGTCTGAATTAGGTAAAGATGATGAATTGTTAGAAGGTAAACTATATTCCAGATGCATCTTTCTAGCTGCACATTTAAGTAGGATAAACATGAACTTGGCAGTTGTGTGTGTCCACCATTCTCTTGAATAAATTCAGGTCCAAGGAACTGAAAAACATTTTAGTTCTTTAATTCTGATGATGAGAAGCCACAATTTTCATGATAGTGGATTCAGTACAATGCATAGATATTCAGTGTTTATTGTGTTTCTTGAGATGAGGAATTGATTATCTTTAAAAATGACAGCTTTCTAAACCTCTAGGTAGTTGTAATTAGAATAACACAGTCATTCATCTGCTCTGGAATCCCTCAGGATTTCAGTCTATTATAAAATTTGCAAATATAGAAAAATCAAATTACTTTGGGTTGTTACCATTTTCAAGATAGGAGAAGGAAAAATATCTGCTAAGCCACTGAGCAGTTACGGTGTTTAATTATAACACAATCTTATTTGAAGTTTGCTTTCTGCTAACAGCAGTGTTACTGCTGTGATGTGGATTCAGATGAGTAAAACAACTTATAATATGTACATTAAATGTTAATGGATTCTGTCTATCCCCTTTCCCAGAATTAATACTTTCTATTTCGCTTTTATTTTCTTTCTTCTTAAAACAAAAACAAAAACAAAAACCCACAAGACATTGAAAACCAAATTATTGATGTCTAGCTGTAATAGGCGATAGGTTGGCAAGAAACTGAAATTTGCTATAGTATTAAAATCATCATTACCCATTAGAGATATAAAATTCCCAAAATAGCCACTTGCTCTTCCTGTTAGCAAATTCCATTCATTGCGACATAAATGCTTTGTGGAAACGTATTAGTTTTTGCAAGGATCAAACGTACCCATTTCTCAAAGAATTCCACTCGCAGAGTCATCAGGTATGCTAATGTCTGGACTTCTCAGTTGATCTCCACTGTGTGTTGAAGGCTACACAAGCCTGGGAATGCTACAACTGCTCAGGATCAGCTGGATTTTTTGATAGCTCTGGTTGTACAGATGACCTTGCAGTTGAGTTCTCTGTTTCCACCTGACTTTGTCTCTAAAACAGCTCTCCCATGTACTGCCTAAGGAACAGAACCTCAAGGATTTCAGGTCTTGGCTGTGAAACTCAAATGTTACAGTGTATTCCTTCTCTAGATGAGCCTTAGTTCTACAGCTGAATAAGATCTCATAGAAACTTTTAACTATTTAATGAGCTTTTAATCTTCTAATGGTCAAGTGGATCGGGTAATGAGCTGAGAAATTTTTAAAACACCAGTGGGAAGCTATCAGTGTAGAGCTGATCAAGAGTATCAATGAAAAATACAGGACTATAACCTCAAATTGGGCTGAAAGGGAAGAATAAGGAAGGACATTCTTCCCTTTTCCTGCATCGTTTGATGAATGAACATTTCTAAAGACAGGTGCCAAGTTTAAAGATGCTGTTAGCAAAAAGCATTCTGCCCTTTGCCAGTTCATATGTAACTGGGATGAGAATGTGGTTCTTCTTAATGATATTGCTGCCAAAAATAGCTCCAGTATTTGTGACAACCAGTACATACGTAAGAAGTTCTAGATCTGAATATTTTGGTTGTGTATTATGACAAGCATATTGATGATATAACAGTTACAATAGTCAAGGTGAAAGTGCATGTGAGATTACCTAGCTCTGATGAGGAGCCAACAACATTCTCCAGCAATTATTCTTGGATTTTGTTTACATCGTTTCCATCCACAGTTCAAATCCAAGATTAATAATACTTTTCTTTGAAATGTTGGAGTTTTTTTAATAGACACTTATAACGATAAATATGAGAGTCAGAGGGTTAGAAGTGCATTAGATGTGTAGTCTGGTGGAGGAGATAACACCATCAAAAAATAGTAGCAAAACAAAAGAAGAGAATATAGTGAGAAATGTATGACTCTAAATAATGTTTTAAAATAGAAAGCTTTCATAAGGACATCGGGAGGAGAGAGGATAGGTACTGGCAAAAGGTTCTGTATTGACTGCTTGAGTACCTGGCCCACTGACAGTCCCAGTGCCTAGGCACCTGTTGAAGAGTAAGTAAAAAACCTGTTTTTTTGTTAAAAACCAAAAACATAGTTTTTGTGAGTTCCACAATTTCAATTTATATGGACAAAGCCAAGGATTAGAGATCTGATAGTGAACGTAACTATGTACTTGAAAGATTTTTGAAGCATCTGCAGGAGATACATAGGTAGCTCTGGCCATCATGGGAGTTTGAACTATTTGCAGTATTATTACTCACATGGTTCCTTTGAATCAAAAGTATTTTCCATCCACAGAAATAAAACTAGTCTTTCTTACCATCACAGAAGTGCAAAATGTTAATGAATATTAAATTTCAAAAGAATATTTATGTAGCCATGAAAACATGTGGCCTGGGCACCAGGAAGTGAAAAAGCTAGGTCAATAACCCCTAAGCAACAGCTTTAGGGATTTTCTTCACTTAAGACAAAAGAGAAGCCAGTAGTTTCTTTGGGGCAACAGCAGTTAAACAGGAAAATGAATTAGTTATTACCTAAAGACCATGAACAGTGTATGAAGTATGCCATAAAGCTTGACATCATGTCATTCAGTGTGAATGCAGTGTAGCCCATTTTCTGACTTAAAAGCTTCTTTGTGGTAAGAGGGAGAATAAATAAGAACTTTTGATTCTCTGGAACACTGAGTCTGATTTGGAGGTAGAAAGTTTGCATACAAGAGGAAGATTACCAAGTCACAGGAAAAAATACTACTTTATACTATAATAAAATTCTATGGTTTTTCATGTATAGTGTGTGGGAGGGGTGTTGTTTTATTTGAAGTTATCATTGACAATTAATGGTTTGCAGTCCTTGGTGTTTCAAAGTAAGCATTTTCTCTTTTGAATGAACAAGATTGTGACAAATAGTGGGTTTTAAAAAAAGATTTGAAAGCAGACTCACCAATATTTCTTATGATTAATTTATCTGAAGTGTGTATGTAGGTTGCTAATATAAAGAGCAGTTACATGGATTAAAGGAAATATTCACAAGTAGAAATGTTCCATACTTAGTACTGTGGTGTTTTTTATGCATTTTAAAATGAGAAAGTCAACGTTATATTATAGTAGGTTTTTTGAAATTGTAAATCAGCTCCCAGAGAATTCTGATATCCTTCAAGTCATGAGTTTAATTTTAGCTTAATTTCTATTTTACAGACATTTACATTTTTAAAGAGTGTAAAAAAGCTGTTCAACACGGAATTTTTTCTTCTATTTGATAAATAAAAAGGAAGCTCACAAAGCTGAATGTTGTTCATTCCATTTAATAATAGCTACAGTACTGTATCATGGTGTTATCTAATTCACAGTTCAGAGAGGTGTTCTGTCCTTTGCTTAAGGATAAATGGCATTCTTATTCAGAAAATGGATCTGTCAATGCCTTTTGTTATGAAACCCATCATGTTTCAAGACAGTTATAGCAGGTGGTTTGAAAAAGATTTTCCAAATGAGTTTTGTAAAAAAAAAAAAAAAAAAAGTTCAGTGTATTAAATCAGAGATATGAGCATCATTACAGTAAACAGTCACAATATACTTCTGCAAGCTTACTAGCCAATTTTTTTTTATCCATGGATTGCAATATGTAGTATTTCAATATTCCACTTATAGTTAATAACAATTTCCTAAGTGTAATGGAGCACTTCAGGGTCTTTGGTCCAGTTTTTAATGAGTGGGAATTGGTCCTTTGTGTATTCTAATTGACTTAATGGTTTTCTAAAGGCTAGTCTTCCCCAAATAGTAAGCAAAATGGAAAATCAAAAGTTCTGACCTAGGACAAAGAACCATGGGTTCCCATAGTGAGTTGTGGATTGACAGCAACTTGACTGCCTAGAGCACAGAGCTATGATTATATCAAATACATTGTCGTACAAGAGCAAGAGGTTTTGCCTTGTTGAGGTAACATTCAATACAGAATTATTATTCAGTCCAAACTCTGTTAATTTTATCTTCTTTGACAATACAGGGAGAAATATCAAAAGAAAAACTGATGAGGAGAAAACCCCTTTCAGCAACTAAGAAATTATTAAAAGAGAGGAAAAGGCAATGAGCATCATAGAATCCTTTCAGTTGGAAGAGACCTTTAAGATCATCAAGTCCAAGCATTAAGCTAACACTACTAACTCCTCTGCTAAAACAGATCAGAATCTGTCAGGATTGGAAGGGACCACAAGGGTCATCCAGTTCCAACCCCTCTGCCATGAGCAGGGACACCTCCCACTAGATCAGGCTGCCCAGAGCCTCATCCAGCCTGGTCTTAAAGACCCCAGGGATGGGGCCTCAACCACCTCCCTGGACAATCCATTCCAGGGTCTCACCACTCTCATGGTGAAGAACTTCTTCCTCACCTCCAGTCTGAATGTTTAACATCCTTAACAACATCAGTGAAGTTAGTTGTGTTCTTTTAATTTTAATGGGAAATAAGCATTCAGTACTTGATCTAAACTGTTACGGAATGGAAAAGGGATTCAGACTGTGGGTTGTGATACAGCTGTTCCTCATGACAGCCTTGCTGGACTGGGCTGTCAGCTTCTGCATTGCCACCCATAGGACAATCCACCTCAAAAGAGAGGCGATGAGGTTGTTACACTGCTTGCCTCCTCCCCTGGCACTAAATACGGTCCTATAAGGACTGAGTTAGCCACTAGTCACAGCCAACTCATTCAGATCCCACTTGGTTTTGGTATGGTAATTGCAGCCTGAGTAAATGGTATCTTGGAACAGAAGCTGTAACAAGATAGGAATTGTTTCACTCGTCTCGGTGTGTTCTTAACTGAAATGGTCTATGATTTTATATTTATTCTTCCAAATATGTTGGAAGAATGAACAAAATGTTGCTTGTATACTGCTATGCAAAAGATATTTGAACTTCTGTTCTTTGGGTAAAAAAGCCTCTTTGATATGCATTTACTATTTCAATCAGATCACATTATTGAATGAATTTGTTTTGCTCAGGGACCTGTTGATTCTTCCCATATATTAATGTATTTGTCAAAAGTACAAGGTAAATTTCTCATGACCATAACATATAATCATTGTCTTCTATCAAAGTTATGACACAGCAGAGGTTGGTTTTCTTCTTATGCCAAATTTTATGTCCATTGTTGAGTGTAATTTTGTTGTATTGTTTTCTTAATGAAAATGTCAACCTACTTCATTTCATCTGAACAGTGCCTTTTTTTTTTTGTCTTTAATTTCTCTTCTGAACCAGAGAAATTTCCTCCCTTAACCTTTAAATATTTCACCCTTAATGCCTTAATCTTTGTTTGCTTACCGGGACCATAGACTCTTTACCTGGATAGGTAGCCAGGGAGTCCTTCAGTTTGGTTTCTCTGTATCTTTGAGAAGGATATAGAAAAAGAGATGCTAGGTTAAGGTGTGATCTGCTTAATCAGATTTTTTACATTTATCACTTACATGAATATATTTTAACTTCTGCTGCCATATCTCTTATTTACATATTTAACAAATTACATCAGTTGTTAGGGTGGTTTTCTTGGTTTGTTTCATTTGTTTGCTACTTTTTTTTTAAGTAGCACTTTTTAAAGAAGTGTATTTAAAGGTTTAAGCCCTCATCTTTGTAACATATATTATTGAACTGTAACTTTTTTCTGAGATATAATTATCTGAGATTATATATGAGATTATATATATACATGGGATAAAAATGCCCCATTTTTAATAGCATTTAGAATTTAACATTTTGAGAAAATAACACAGCAAAGGTGACTTTATTTCATGATTTATCAACTTACCTAACTTGGATTTTTAGTTTAAACAAATGCAGAAAATATGGCATATATTACTGTGTTAAAGAACAATGCATAAAAATACAGGATTTTAAAAATCTGTCATTGATGAAGTTTTCTGTGATTTGTATCAAAACAGAATTTTTGTTACTAAAGTTGTTTTTACAGCTAGGAGACTTAAAGGCCACTGGAATGGAAGAAGGTCGACCAGAAAATCCTGCTTTGTCTGATTTCTTGTCCAGAAAGGATAAAGCTCTACTAAGAAATGGGACTGAAAAAAAAGATGTTTTTTTACACTGTCCTGTAAAGCTAATGATAACCGTAATAACAGTGGAGATTTCTGTATAAAGAAAAGGTGATTTTAATAAAAAATACCAACAAATGTGTATGAAGAATGCAGGTTCTTTATGCATCCTTTGCAAACACTACTAAACTCATTTGGAATAAGGAACAGTTCTTCAGAATTGGTATTCATACATAAAAGAAGCTTTACATTAGTATTCAGTTAAAATCATATTTATCATAGTACTTTATTGTATTTTTTCTTTTGTTTTAGCCATGAATGCAGATGTGAAGAATGAAAGCCTTTCGTCTGTGCAGCAGCTTGGTGTTGAAATGACAGTCAGGTACATGGTATTAAAATATTTCCCTAGTGTATTTCTAGGATTTGTTTGATTTTTGTGGAATGACTTTAATGGTGCTTAATCCATCAACTCAATACTTTCTACCATTTCAATCTAAAGATCATCTTTAAGAAAATGAATTCTAACTCTGAAAATGAAAAAGGTATTAGTACATAATTAAATTATCTTACAGATTGTATAGGTTATTATCCTTTTTTGTTATAAAGGCTAATTGTAACTTGTTAGGAAGATTTACCATAAAATCACATTATCCTGAGTTATGTGCCTTTTTTAGCTCACATAACGTCTCTAAATAATTCTGTTTAGCTAAGCTTAGTTATATGCCATTTAAACATTTGGCTGGTAATTTGCAGAGCCGTGATGAAAGAAAAGCTAATGTGTCTGTACTTCCACAGATTGTTATCTTTAGCATTAATATTTGAATTCTGATGCTAATAATTACACACACCATATTCTTAGATGGAATTCTAAATAAGATATGTGAAGAAAATGAGTTGTTAGGGTACTTGCTTGCTCCTCCCTACCAGAGTCTCTAAAACTGAACTAAGAGGAATTTAGGTGAGGAATTGTAACACTGAATAGCAGATGCTTAGGGTGTATCCTTCCTACATAAAGCATGATAGGCTATATTAAACCATTTATGTCTATACCTGTAATAGTGTTTATGATTAACAACACTGACAGCTTCACGTGCCTACTAAATATGAGTTCTTGGTTTTTAGGAATTAAAAAAAAAAAGTTTAACCTTTAAACAGTTTTGATTTTTAACTTTTTGTTCTAGATATGGAAAATACCTAAACTTGCTAAAAGAACATGCTGAAAATGAGCTGTGCTTCGTGCTAATGAATTGTGAGAAATTTCTGGAACAACAGCAAAGAACTGTGGTATCCTCACTTTGTATCCTTTCTTGATGACATAAATTATATTGTCTAAAAATGCCAGTGGAATTACAACTCCCAGTATGAGCTTTTGATGGTGGCATAGATGTGTAATATGAGCTGAAAGAAAATACTGCAGTACTTTTACTTTGAAATGTTCAGCTAAAATGCATACCCAGTGCACTCAGGAAAATCTTCATCTTTTTGTTTCTGTACTTCATTAAAATTGTAGGTCTCATTCATCTTTGTCATAAACTGTTCTGGAGTAGGATCACACCTCTCTATAGGTGATCGTCTGCAGATTGACTGTGAAGTGCACCTTTGAGCATTAATGAGTATTTGTGGTACTCCCACAAAACAGTGTTAATGGTATTGCCTATGCAATAATATGTGGCTGTAATCTGATCAGCAGAAATGTTTTGACTTCTGACTCCTTTAGATCTACTATGGAGCTTTTTTTAATATCAAACGTACCTGTTTCCAACAAGCATTTCTATATTCTTCAGGTGTTAGACTTATGTCCCTATTAAAATACACTTCAGATATATTAGTCAGAATATGCTTAATCTCTTTTTAAAAACTTTTCATTTACTTTGTTTTTTTCATAATCTACAAAACTCCTGTTTTCCTCCTCTACCATTCTCCTTTCCTGTACTACAAGCACGCTTATTTCCATCTGGGTTTTTTTTGCATTTACTTGTGTTTTATTTACTTTTGTGGGTTTGGCTTGACTTATGGACTGAAAAAAAAAAGTACCATGTAGGAAAAATGGCTTAAATTGTTCCTCTTAATTCAGTTTGAGAGGCAGCCATGCCTCAAGAAGCTGCTTTCTGTGCAGCCATATTCCCCTTGTCCCATCTCTAACAAACCAGCTGTTGCCTTGGTGTACACGGGCCTGGAGAGGAGGAGGAGAAGGAGGGCTGAAGTTCTGGCAGGGAGCTCCTTAACCTTCTCATGCAGGCTGCTTGCAGGAGTGCTATCCTGGCTACGACTGGTTTGCATCTTCTGTCTTCCTCATCATGTCAGGGGACAGGGAGAAGACCCTGACATTTCTTCAGCAATTTTCATGTCTTCTTGTTTCAGCATTTCTCTGGCTACCAAGGCTGCATTTGTCTGTAAGAATTTCAAAAGTGTTTCTTTCTGAAAGGGAACTTTGCAAGTTTCTAAAGAAGACTTTATCAATTTCTTTAGTTTGGGGTGGGATTTTTTAATGCCATTTAAGTTTTCCTTAAAGCCCTCTAACTGAATATGTGACCCTGAAAAAGTCTCAGAAAAATATAGAATCATAGAATCCTTTAGGTTGGAAGAGACCTTCAAGATCATCACGTCCAATCATTGAGCCATTAGGGCTCTAAAGTCCTCTGCTAAAACAGATCAGAATCTGTCAGGGTTGGAAGGGACCACAAGGATCCCCCAGTTCCAACCCCTCTGCCATGAGCAGGGACACCTCCCACTAGATCAGGCTGTATAGAGCCTCATCCAGCCTGGCCTTAAAGACCCCCAGGGATGGGGCCTCAACCACCTCCCTGGGCAACCCATTCCAGGATCTCAACACTCTCATGGTGAAGAACTTCTTCCTCACATCCAGCCTGAATCTGCCCACTTCCAGCTTTGCCCCATTCCCCCTAGTCCTGTCGTTACTCAATAGCCTAAAAAGTCCCTCCCCAGCTTTCTTGTAGGCCCCCCTAAGATACTGGAAGGCCACAATAAAGTCACCTCGGAGCCTTCTCTTCTCCAGACTGAACAGCCCCAACTCTCTCAGTCTGTCCTCGTAGGAGAGCTGCTCCAGCCCTCGGCTCATTCTCGTGGCCCTTCTCTGGACACGCTCTAGCAGTTCCACGTCCCTTTTGTAATGGGGGCTCCAGAACTGGATGCAGTACTCCAGGTGGGGTCTCACCAGAGCAGAGTAGAGGGGGAGAATCACCTCCCTTGACCTGCTGGCCACACTTCTGTTCATTCAGACCAGGATCTGGTTGGCTTTCTGGGCTGCAAGTGCACACTGCCAGCTCATGTTGAGCTTCTCGTCCACCAGCACCCCCAAGTCCCTCTCCTCAGGGCTGCTCTTCAGCCAGTCCCTGCCCAGCCTGTATTGGTGCCTGGGATTGCCTCGGCCCAGATGCAGGACCTTGCACTTGGCCTTGTTGAACCTCATGAGGTTGGCTTGTGCCCACCCCTCCAGCCTGTCCAGGTCCCTCTGGATGGCCTCTCTTCCCTCCAGCGTGTCAGCCACACCACACAGCTTGGTGTCGTCAGCAAACTAGCTGAGGGTGCACTCAGTGCCACTGCTGGGGACATGTGTGGTACAGCCTGGTGTCGATGTTTGCCCAAATGGTTGTCTAAAAGTAGTGAAATAACAGGTAGACTGGTAGTAAAGGCAATGTTATTGAATTTTAAAGCTGGCAGTAAAATAAATTTTGTTAGTGGCATTAAATTCTGTGTGAAGGCTGTGATACTGTTGAATGACCTTTTTTTGTGTTTTACAGTGTGCGAGTCCATCATTTTGATTTTTTCTTTTTTTTTTTAATAAAACTATCAGTTTTAAATGTACTAAATACATTAGAATGTATTCAGTAAATTTTAAAAATTATTACTGCCCAAGAACTGAATGCTTGACCATTTTATATTATTATCTTGGATCAAGTCTGTAGTATAAGAAACATAATTACCATCTTCTATTAGGAGTGATATCGTCTATTTAAATTAAAACCCTTCCAGTTTGACTTTTTACATTGTCACATTGTCTTGAATGTTTTGAACATAAACTATAAAATAACTGTAGTCTTTACTAGAGAACTCTAGTGTGTAAGAAGCACGTATTAGACTCTGCATCTCTTCTGCATGGAAGATTTTTGTTAATATTAATTGCTTTGGCCTGTCACTAGAAGTGACTGTATTGGTCCACTCACAGCAGTGAGTCCAGCCCTGAGGTTGTTCCTAGCACAAAAAAATTTTACTCCATTGTGTGAATATAATTGCTGAATGCTGTCAGTGCTGCAAACTTCACTGTTGTCTTCCATACAAGAACAAGACAACGTTGCAGGGAGGTTGCTGAAGTGCTAATGTTCATTCTCAAGACCGAAATGATTTATTTTTCATAATATATCTTGAAAACACAAAGAGAAAATTAATCTCTTTACATAACTACCACAATGTGAAAACATGAATGAAGAATTATCCAGCCATTGGATTGTGATACTGCCTACCTCAGGAAGGAGGAAATTTCTGAAGGATGTACCTTGACTTTGCAGCACGAAGCCAAGGACTCATTACCTAGAAACCAGGCACTGGTGTCCAGAGCTTTTCACAACAACAGTTTCTCTATTCCTCCTTTGACAATTGAAGCTTCAATGCAATAAAGAGCTAGATTGCTGATGCAAAGGAATAGTCAGGATAAGTAATAATAAGTTAATAAATTTATATCATATATAAATTGAATGAATATATATTATATAATAATAAAATTAATGTTTCTAACTTCTAATTCTCATTAGTTTACTAGTTTTTCCTGATGGTAGTACTAGATTTTTTGTTTATTCTATTTCCTCTCTCTAAAATAACTGGGATGATTTCTTTTACAAGTAAATGCATATATTTTTATATGCTGTTCTCAGCAAGGTATTTTAAAGTAATACATTTTTGTAGTCTGTAATCCTTTTCCTCATTTTTGTTGATGATGATGTTGTTGTTAATAGATGCACCTGCCTGTTACCACAGTGGAATCTGGCATCCATCCAGTCTATTTTTGCAGTTCTCACCACATTGAAATGCTGCTGAAAGCCGAGCTGCCCCTTGTCTTTTCAGCTTTCCATATGTCTGGTTTTGCTCCATCCCAGGTAACTGATGAAAGCATATCAAGATATCATCAACTTTTTGACTTAAATCCACAAAATCTTAGACATTCAGGAACTACTGTAAGTTTTCCATACAGCGCTTATGTGGTGGTGATGAAATTAGGGGTAGGAAACAGTACTGAATGCGTAGTGACTTAGAATGTCTGAAAATAGAAAGCAACTGACTTTAGTAGAATCATGACAGTGTAGTGCTGCTGCTGACCTTGCGTTACATGTTCATCCAGAAAACTTGATAAAATAATATAAACTAAACCTTCAGATTTATCATTAAAAATAAATGGAATGCCTTATTCCCTGGAATAATTTCTTAATTTACCATAGGAGGAAAATGAGAACTTTGGGATACATATATAATAGGAAGCAGTTCAGGTGTTATGGTAGCTCATATAAAAATAATTTTACTCTACAAAGGTACAATCAGGTATCACGCTATTCTTCTATATTGAAAGAGGTGTTACTAAAGACTGTTTATCCATACTGTTAGCTTTCATTTTACCTACTTACTACAAATCTTTGGTAATACAGAATGCTGTGTTTGGAGAATTACTTGTAATGACTGTGGTCGTGATGGAGTATAAATGGCTTCATGAAACAATGAGACTGCCAATGCAGAGGACCTCTCACCACCATAAGAAAGCTTATTGCTGTTCAAAGGCATGAAAAATATTTATAATCTTATGCCTTGAGAATTCCTTTTTGCAACAAGATTTGTAGTTTAAGAGAAGTCTTAATAGGGTCAGGTGCCAGTGGGGTACATACATGGCTTAAAGTAGCTTGGGATTTGATTTTAGGGGAGAAGACTGGCACATGAGGGTATTTAGCTCATCATAGGAAAGAGGTGCTTATAATAAGGTTCCTGTACTGGGGTGGGAAAGCATATGGGGACAGTTGTCCTTCCTCAACTATTCTTGTGTAAGTTATCCTGTATGCTTTTTTAATTGTTTGTACTCAATAACAGACCAGTTACTGTTCTAAAATGCTGACAAGGTTTTTCATTTGGGGACTTTTTTTTTTTTTTTTTTAATTTAATGTATTACTGAAATGCCACTGTATATTCTGTGTGATTTTTGCAGTTCTACTGCAGGGTTACAAACAAACAAGCCTGAGCTGTGAAAACAGCTCTGATGTATTTAAGTGCTTGTGTGCATCAATAAATACCTGAAGAAAAGATCTAATGCCAGAGTATGGCTGCTGTCATTTAATTAGAATCTTGGTGCTTCTTCTGCTGTGTGTTTTTAAACACTTTAAGGACTAATTAGCAGAAGATTTGTGGTCTAGCCTTAAATGAAATATGCTGTACACGTCTTAAGTGATTTAGAACTGGAAAAAGGAGTCACTAAATGCATTCCATACACACTTCATTAAATGAAAATGGTTCTCAGGGAAGGGCCAGATATTCCTTTAAGGCAAAGAACCTCTCTAATTTAAAGGGAGATCCACATTAAACACACCTTCAGTACCCTCGTTACCCTTTAGGCCACATTTAAAAAAAAACTTTAAGAAATTACCTTTGTTTTCATTGTGCTTTGAGTTTTATGTCTCAGCCTCAGGAGTTACCAGAATATGTTCAGATAAGTGAGGTGCATGGATATGGGCTGTTATATTTAACAAGACTCACTAGAAGTCTGTTCAGAGTCTGTGATTTAAAAATGGCCATTCTTGGCTTCTTTTGTACTTTATCCCTTTTATTTTCAGAAGTAGACTGATGTTACAAAAATTTAATTATATGTATTTCATTCTCATCTAGATTTGTCTGCAATGGATAACACAGTGTTTCTGGAATTACATGGACTGGAATGAGATCTGTCACTACATTGCTATATGTGTTTTCCTCGGTCCTGATTATCAAATATATATGTGTATTTCTGTGTTCAGACACCTACAGCAAGACATCCTGAAGCACACTGAAGCCCAGGATCTCCAGGTTTTTCTTAAAGTAAGGGTTTCTTTTTTAATTTTTCAATTTCTGAAGGAAGGTTCTCAATACTGAAAATATACATGCTACTTAATCTGAAGCTTTTACTGAGTTTCAGTTACTGATTTTAAGTGAGGAAAATAATACTTTCTTTTTATTTACTTCGTGGTATGAAATTGTGGTATACTAATTTCCAGAAAAAATAGCTTTCCTGCATTTTGTCCTGATGGTTCCCATTGTAAGCAAAGTAGATACCCACGTTAAGTAATGAGGTCATTTGATTCAGTCCTCTCTGTGTGGCCTCAATGTCATTAAACCAGATGTTGTCCAGAAAGGTTGGTT